CTGCTGCTGCTGCTGCTGCTGCTGTTGCTGCTGCTGCTGTTGCGATTATGGTTTTGCTCCAGCAGCCACCTAGGGGTTCAGACTGTCGAAGGAGGAAAAAATATGCAGTTGCTGCTGCTTGCTGCTGCTGCTTGCTGCTGCTGTTTGCTGCTGCTGCAGGTGCAGGATCTTCAGTTTCACATCAATGCCTCGCGGCGCCTGGGAAGTAGCCAGGACACTCGAGTACAGAAACCCTAAACCCTACACCCTAAACCCTAACTATTGTGCCGAAGCTCCCAGCGAGCGGTACCTTTCAACCCAAAACCTGCTGCTGCTGCTGTTGCTGCTGCTGCAGGAGGGTCTTTTGCTGATAGGGCAGCGGGAAGGAAGCGGCAGGGGCCCTCGCAGCCGCAGGGCCCGGCGAGGCGGAAGCAGCAGCAAATAGTTGTGGGGCCCCCCAATTCAAAAAGGGTTTTACAAGGCCCGGGGGCCCCCTCAGGGGGCCCCTCGGGGGCTACCCCAGGGGGCCCCTCGGGGGCCCCTCGGCGGGCCCCTTAGGGGGCCCCCCAAGGGCACAGCAAGCGCGCGCTGCTGTTTAGGGGCCCCCCTAGACAGTGCAGCAAACACTATTAGCTGCTGCTGTCATTCCAGAGCACCCAGGAGGCTCTGCTACTCAATTTGGGGGCCCCCCAGGGGCCCCCAAATAGGACTCTCTGCATGCAAATGAGGGCCTCTATAGGGAGCCCCTTTGGAGGCCCCTTTGGGGGCCCTTTTGGGGGTCCCTTGGGGTCCCAGCCTTTACTAAAGGGGCCCCCTTGCCTTCCTAAAGGGTCCCCGTTTTTGTCCTTTATGGGCCCATTTCAGGGTTCTTTGGGGGCCCTATAGGGGCCCCTATTTGTTTTCCATTAGAGGACCCCAATCTGGTCCCTTGGGGGCCCCAATTTGCTGCCCCTGGGGCCCCTAGCTCGCTCTTCTGGGGGGCTCCCTGGGGGCCCCCGGGCGGGGGCAATAAGTGTGGGTTCCTGCAGACACAGGGGCCCCCCCAGGGGGCCCTTATTTTGTTTCGGGGTACCCCTAGTATTTGATGGGGCCCCTTTGTGTCCAAGAGACCCTAATTCTCGTTGAACCCTAAATAGTCCCGCCTCAGTCTTTAAGGGGGGCCCCCAGTGTGTTCATAGGAGTGGGGTTGCTGCTGTTGGGACCCCCGGGGGCCCCCCGGAGTTATTTCAGCCTCTTGGGAGGCCCCCGGGGCCCCACCAGGGGCCCTCTGAGCTGGCGAGAGCCCCCCAGGGGCCCTCTGGGCTGGCGAGAGCAGCAGAAAGTGAACTAATAAATATTAGAATAGATTTTTAGATTTTTTATTTAATCTGAATAGAGGGAAGCCCCAAACCCTAGTCTAGACAGACGAACTGGGGGCCCCCGGGGGGCCCGCTAGCCAGCTGGGTGGGGTTGGGGGCCCCACCAAACAACACCCCCCTCACTGGAGCTGAGACGGGGGCCCCCTGGGCCCTTATTTGCTGCCCCCAGGGCATTTAGTTTATTGCGTTTTTTTAGTTTGATAAAGTTTTATAGGCCTCGTAGCAGCAGCAGCAGCTGCTGCTGCTGCTGCTCTTGCTGCGGACCACCCACTACGCTGCGCAACGGGTCTTGCTGCAGTTGGGCCCCCCCTGCACCTCTCCCAACCCCCATTTCCGTTTTGCTGCTGCAGAAGCCACGCAAGGAAGGTGCAGCAGCAGCTGCTGCAGGCGCAGCAGCCCGGGCGGCAGCAGCAGCAGCGCAAGCAGCACTAGCAGCAACCGACGCCTCAGCAGCAGCAGCACAAAAGCCATGCCGGCTCGAGGCCTTTCTTCTGAGGGGCCCCCTTGGGGGCCTGTAGGGCCCCTCGAGGTGTCTTGGGCCCTCCAGACGAGTGGGTTTAGTGAGTCGGCGGACTTGGGGGGCCCCCTGCAGCTGAACACGCAGCCCTGCAGCAGCAGCAGCAGCAGCAGCAGCAGCGGGAACAGCACAATTTCAGAGTCAGGGGGCGAAATGAGTTTTGTTGTCGCAGCTATGGGGGCTGGAGGCAGCCTAGGCAGGAGCCACACGCAGCAGCAGCAGCAGCAGCAGCAACGGCAGCAGAAGCGGAAGCAGCAGCAGCAGCTGAATGTGTTAGATCTTGGGTCCCCACAAAGCCTTGCTGCTTCTTCCTGCTCATCTCCGGTGCAGCTGAAGCAGCAGCCTCCCCCACCGCCACAGCTGCAGCCGCTGCCAACCTTGCTGCAGCAGCAGCAGCAGCAGCAGCAGCAGCAGCCCCGGAGGGGCGGCA